TTGTATTGATTCATGATGGTGACATGGTTTAAACATTTGAACTGTGAATGATTGTGTTGCAAGTTCAAATTAGATGTTAGAAGGGGTTTTTGTGGAGATTTCAGTATTTTTCATAGTTGAAATCATCAGTCAATTGAAGCTAGACCATCAGGTAAAACCTGGAAGCACTGGACGGCCGTTTTGTTCTATTGTGGGACTCCTCAACGGTGCGCATCCACGATCCCGCTTCGCGAGCGAGATTCGATCCCAGGACCTAGCAGTGTCGCGCCAGAGCACTTAACAGATAGACCAGTGAGCCGGTTCATATGCTCACTACTGACTGATTTCATGAGATATTTCCTGGAGTTCTAGTGGGAGGCAGTGACCAGTGGAGTTCAACCACGTCTGTTGTAGAGATATCAACTCACTGAAGACAATTGGTGAACGGTTGCTCAACTTCGTGGATCGGTTGAAGTTAGACATTAACATCGTTGGATGCCGGTTAAGTGCTCTGGCACGAGACTGGTAGGTTCTGGGTTCGAATCTCTTTGGTGTGGGATCGTGGATGCGCACTGCTGAGGAGTCGCATAATAGGACGAAATGGCCTTTCAGTGCTTCCAGGTTTTTCATGGTGGTCTAGCTTCAATCGATTCATGATTTCAACTATGAATATAATGTTAATTTATTAATCTTCACATAGTAAGTATAGCGCTTCATACTTTTGTTACATAAGCCTATACTTGAAAAGAGTAGTTTTCATTCATATATTCTGTGATTAGTTATTATCAATACTTGCGTTTTCAGTAATTTTGATTTAAAGTACTATAATGTTTAAATGATTTAACATTTCCTACCATTGAATTTCTGACTCTTAGCATTGAATCAAAGCTAAATAGAGATTACACCACAATAATAATTGATCATTTTCCATTTTCCTATAGTTCCACTAGTCATAGAAACTTGTAGAATAAATAATTATATATACTATGTAATTCTAAGCAAATTGTAGGTTGTTGATGATACTTGTTAATAATATTTTCCTTGTATTAAACATATGTTTGATCGTCATAAGTAAATGGTCATAACTTATGTTATTATTATTGTTATCATTTTGATGAGTATATGTCATGTTACCTGGTTAATTTCCTGTTCACTTTTTTTTATATTCAACTAGTGTAGAAATAATGTAGAATAAGTTTAATACTAAACAAAGCAAGTTATTACATAGTTAGGAGTTAATTCTTTATTTTGAATACAATATTAGGTATAGTTCAGTTTTGAATTGTTTGTTTGAATCTTCCAATTGATATTTAAGACTGTAATCGATCGGTTTTTTTATTAGGATATGTACATCCTGTACGGATCACCTCGATATTAACTTAAGTCACAAGCATTATGAGCAAAGATGGGGGGGTGTCTAGCAGTGGAATACAGGACGCGCGTTTCGTCCTATTTGGGACTCGTCAGCTGGATATCTCTGCTTACCGAAGTGAACATCAACTCTAGGATGGTAGGACATCCAACGGAAGAATCCTAAACAAAACGAAACGTTCGTCCTTGGCTCTACTATTGGCCGCCATCCATTTTTGCTTATAATTTTAGGTATATTATTTTGATCATGATGAGCTACATTAGGTATAAGTACCGTTTTAACGCAAATCATTTGTTGGCAACTGAAATTTAGTTTTTGTGTTTAGCTTTAGTATAATACTGTTTCATTTCAGTTTGATAGTATAAAACAAAATTCCTAGCTTATCTGAAGTTTATGAAAATTCTTCCATTTTCTAAAAAGAGTTTACGTCAAAGACTGACCTTCATTAACCATCTATTGAAACTCTAGATAGTAAACAGCTGTTTTGTCCTAATAATGAACAACTCACTATTTCGTAGCCATAATTCCGTCGGAAATAACGGACCGTAATAGGCTCAGACCTTGTTGCATGATGGAGTACGATTTCCAATTGTCCACCTTCCCAATTCCAATCACTTCTTTACACGAAGAAATAACTGTTCAATATTGTATGTTAATCAATGCTGATCCTAGCAAGTTACTTTCTAATTATCAACTCCAACTCGACAAAAGCTTGTTGCTTTATATTAAGATACGTATCATTACTTTTTTTCAAGGGAAAATCATCCCATTGAATGTAATTTCTATTATTTTTCTTACTCAAGTCCAGTACATGTTATTTAGTTTTCATTGATGTATCATATGTTTACAGTTATATTACTGAGTAGTACATATCTGTCTATAAAAGATGAAATGAATTATGTCAACTGAATAGTAATAATATATTTGTAATATCTCAGCGAATGAATTTGAAGTAAATCAAACGTTTCGCTTAGCAATCTGGTCCAAGCTTTTTCAAGGAATTAATTCCTTGGATCAGATTGCCAGTCGAAACGTTGGATTTACTTCGAATTCATTCGCTAAGATTTTACAAACAAATGTATTCTTCCTATTTAATGTCTTACATCAACTCGGCGCTCAAATACTGTGAAACTATTCGCTCTCATTTAGACGAAAGTTCTTATATATTAATTATGTTTATGTTTTTTGAATTATCACTTAGTGCATAGTAAAGTACTTGTGAGTGAAAAAAATATGCTTTGTATCCTAACGAACCAATTTTGTATTTTCAAGCTTTGTAAAACAATCTTAAAAAAATTTGCTCACTGGTCTCTCTCTGCCTATCACAGCGCTTTCTCTCAAAGTTTACTTTATTTTGTTGTGTAGCTCATTAAATATACTCAATTAACAAATGATTTGCTATAAAAGCTATGGAGTGTCATTGTTTATTTAATATTCCTACTGTATAATTGTAGCTTAATACTTTCTTTACAAGCTAACTAACTGGTGATATGTTTTTGTCATTTGATGTTGCAAATGTTTTCTTTTAGGATTGATGGATAATATTCGTATCTCATAATAAGGTGTTTTATTATCTGATCTGTATGATATAGTCACGAAGTTCTCATCGTCTTTCTAGACATCTTATGATAATGGACGCACATTACAAGATTCTCAAATACCAACATGTGATAGAGGACCAAAAGAGGAAGCTACAACAGACACTTACACCAGAACACTTCGAAATCTTGACAATAGCCATCGAAATATTATGCAAACGACACAGAGAAAAAAGAAGAAACATCCTTATAAAGAAAATAATGAAAATCTCATAACCAACTATAGAAGAAAACTCAAACAACTGCGTGGTCAACCTATCAAAACAACCACTAAAAAACATAGAAGAACAGCTACTCCAAAAGGGATTAAACTACAATACAAGCGATGCCTCAAAAATAGAATTCTACGCAGCACTAGAATCATCACTCAAAACTTTCAGAATAAGTGAGGAAACGCAACAGGAAATAAGACAATCTATAGCACCACTAATTCAACGGATGAAGGGCAACAACCAACCGACTTCACAAGAACAAACAGCTTTGAAGAAACTCAGAACCAGAAAAGATATTGTCATCGTTCCAGCAGACAAAGGACGCACCATGGTCAATATGGTCAAAGAAGAATAGGTGTAGCCCACAAACCAACAAAGTCCCTCCACTCAATCTTATGAAAACCAAAAGATGAAATGTCAAAAGAGGACAAAACAAACATCATCTACAAGATAAATTGTACCAACTGCGATAAACATTATATCGGACAAAGCGGACGCCCCCTGCATCTTCGTCTACATGAACATCAATTAGCCGTCAAACGCCACGACATTTCTTCACTCATATCAATACACGTGGACAACTACGGACATACATTCGACTGGAAAAATGTGCAGATTTTGGACAGAGGCAATTCCAAAAACACCAGAGAATTTTTAGAAGCTTTGCACTCAGGTCAATCAGCAATAAACAAACATATTGAAATCAATCCAATTTATCAACCAATCAAGAAAATTATGCAGAAACATAGGAGCAAAAATCAAACCAATGGGAGAAACAACTAAAACAAAAAAATAAACAATGACAGACATTAAATAGGAATAATATATTTCTAAAATCTCAGCGAATGAATTTGGAGTAAATCCAACGTTTCGCCTGGCAATCTGGTCCAAGCTTTTTCAATGAACTATAATCAAACATCAAAATTATCGAATATAAATAGGTACATGGTTTTTCGTTTCATTGTACACTGAATAGGTCATCCAATCAACGTTAAAAAAGTCTAAACTAGGTATGTGTAAGAGATATGTGATGTGACAATGACAGATGTAAGGTCAATAAGAACCAATCAACATCGAGGTGCACAGAACAAGCTGTGAATCACATGTGGAGAAATTCAAAAACTTAACTTCTACCCGAAGTTTGTGCTGATGATGTCGTTCAGAAGGATGATGAAAGCTCCACGACCCAACCATCCAACTCAGAGAACAGACCAACATCAAAATCACCCACCTGAGCTACAAATCTTCACCATCTCTTTCTAGACATCTTCAGTATATCCTTCACAAAAAAAGGAATTCAGGTCAGGGGAGAACGCAGTCTAAACTAATATATTAACAACCAATGGAATAACATGTCAACATAGAGCTAGCCGTTAGTTAATTATGGAAAAATACTAATAGCTCACTTCTCTTCAAAGTATTTGCTGATAATCATTTACTGTCCATCTTTGCTTACAATGCTTGTGAATTAAGGCTATATCGGGGCAATACGCACAGTATGCACATATGCCAATAAGAGACTGATCGATTGCAGTCCTAAAAATCAATGGGAAGATTCAAACAAACAATACTAAATGAATTTGCTGATCATGTTGTCTTGAAAGACATGCTTCACAACTGAATCATTCAGCTCAAAGAACATAACATTTCTATAGCGATGTCTCATACTATAATGGATTTCGTAACACCTAATATTTACCAAACTATTTAAAGTGTAATTATAACAGACTAACGTAGATGTATTCTTACAAACAAAAACTTTAACAATATGACTAGAATAGTCGATATAAATGTATGCATATATATATCTATATCCCTACTTTGTTTTTCTATTCAAAGGGTACTATTCGTAAATGGACAAGTTATTTTGATTACATTGTAACTGATGCAAGAAAACCAGCATTCTTTCAAGAAGGAACAATTTTAAGAGTTGTTTGCCAAGTTAGTTGAATTATTTTCATAATCAGTTTTTTGCTTTCTTTTTTTTGTTTTATGTCAAAAACATTATGCTGACAAGTTACGTTCTAAAATACACTAAAGTTGAATGAAGAAAATCGTATTGCAAAATATGCTTGATACAATCATGGCATTTTAGTATTGGAGATGAGTTGACTGTCACAACAATTTTATTTAAGTTATATTCACGTTATAAAGTTATTTATTACACTTTGTTATAAGATGGTGGTTGGAGGTGGTCAACAGGAAATCCTGGACCCGGGTTTCGTGCTACTTGGCACTCTTCAGCAAGGTGTACCTGTAATCTTGAGGGAACTGATGCTCCCTGATGGATTCAATCCCGTGTCACTCAGCTTCACAATCACAGACGTTACCACTGAGCTATTCGTGCCGCTACCGACCTCTTGTAGGACTGAGATCTAATCACAATTGATTGATCACTGGGTGGTGATCAATGTCATGCGTGTCAAGTCCTTCTTAGTGCTGATCGAAAGTTTTGTTAAATTATAAAACTTCATACATTGAAGGCTACTAAAATTTGTTTTTAGTCATCGAACATTTTAAAGTCATTTTCAGTATGAGGTTGTGGAGACTATTGAATTTTATTCAAGTCATTAGCCGATCTAAGATAGACCACTATTAAAAACCTTGAAGCACTGAACGGCTATTTCGTCCTAGTTTGGAACTCCTCAACTGTGGTCAGTGTTGCTAATCCATATCGTATTTGAGGCAGACAATGGAAGATGATCGTGCAATGTCTTAAATTTATTTAGGTTAGATATCAACACTATTGGATGCCGGCTTAGTGGTCTAGAGGTTGCCACTTTTGGATACCGCTGGTAACTGCATTTTTACATCTGTCTACCCGACAATATACAGAGGATAACTTGTATCGATCTAAGTTAAGTCCTTGAATGATAGGTTAAATAGTTTAACCTTGGAGTTAGAATGCTTGAGTTCGAAGTGAGATTAACTGCCTTGGGTAGAGAGATGAAACCACTCTACCACCTGGTTGGTTGACAAACGAGAGCGAGAGAAGACGAGTCAACTGAAATACTACTCGACTTATTTCTAATTCCGAACCAGATTATTGCAAAAAGATACATGACTTAATAGATGAGCAACAAGACTACAACGCACAAATAACTAGAGAAATACAATTATATCTAAAACTGGGCATTAAATTAGAAAAAAAAACAGGGCACAGAAGGTACCGTTCAAATTACAATAGCTTTGAAACAGAAAAGGGTATGTCAGTGAATCATACATCAATCGAAAGCTTATAGTTTGTAGAATAAACCAGGGATAAAAATAAATGTTAGTATTTTACAAGCTTTGAATGAAGTGAAATAACGTCCCCGAAAATAGCTCACGTTGTTTGTCATGACTTCTTTGGTTCTCTGTTCCCATCACACACTTTATCTATTCTACATAATTGTTGAGCGAACTAGCTTGTTTTCTTTTTAATTATAAAATTTTGTTCGACCGTCAGCTATTATTCATATTGAACGTAGAGTTTGGTACAAGATTCATAATAAAGGAATTGAACGGTATAAATAGTGTAGTAGTGATGTAAAGTTAAGCGTTTTTTCTGGTTAGTTTTTTCTAGCGAGTGAATTTTCTACGGGATTGGGGTCGCTAACCCCATGCCCAACCCTCCTCCTTTACCTGGGCTTGGGACCGGCAGTAGCCCCCGGAGGGGCTACAAGCGGAGTTAGTGATGTAAAGTAATGTAGAGAAAGATCATTCGTCTATGTACATATTTGATATCGGTCATTTAATATGATATACAATGGAATTATATACACAATAACTTAATATAATGCATATTAGTCATAATAATAATAATGACTGACAATTGGACTGAGCCATGCTGGTAGGTGTAGACTACCTGGTTGGGATGCGTGAGATGATAGCAATCGATGGATAGAGACCTTGAATGTCATGGCTCAAAATTGTTTGCAATGGCTAAGGTGCATTCACTCTTTGTGTTCTACCAAATTCTAATCTTCTGAATTCATCTTGTTTCCATGTTTTTCCTCTTTCCAAATTTATTTCACTGGATTATATTCCTTGAATAACATCTTCGAACCCTAATCTTTCACAATAACGCTTATACTCCTACTAATTCTACCACTATGGTATTTAAATGGACAACTGTATCTCTGTGTTAATGTGGTATGACAACTCGAACTGATGTACGTACGTACGTACGAAGTTGTGACTGACTGACTGACTATTAGTTATTATAAATGTATGTGTTGATTATTATTTTGTAACAAAAACAAATCATGTATTCATTAGAATTGTGTATGTATCATATAGAAGGTATTTTTAGGTTTGTTTAAATTATTTGTCCTCCTATTATTTCATCAGTTTTATTCATATTTTTAGTATACAGAGTTTATTTAAAATGATTGATATATATATCTATATTCATTTTGTATTGTTTGTTTAAATCTCATTGGTATTTAGGACTGTACTTGATCAATCTGTTATTGACATATTTACATCCTGTTCCGACTGACTCGATGTTCCCTTAAGTTACAAGTATTATAAGCAAAGATATACATCCAGCTGATGTGTCCTAAATAAGAAGAAACCCATTTCATGGTTTCCACTGCTAGCCACCATCCATATTTGCTTCTAATGATTGATATATTGTTTAACGATTAACTAATCAATCTATTATTTCACTGCCATATTAATTGTCCTATACAAAGATTCAATGTCAATGTCAATTTTAGATATGTCAGTTAGTCACAACGTAGAACTTCATACGTACGTACGTACGTACATCAGTTCGAGTTGTCATACCACATTAGCACAGAGATGTAGTTGTCGATTCAAATCCCATAGTGGTAGAAGTAGTAAGAGTATAAGCGTTATTGTGAAAGATTAGGGTTTGAAGATGTTATTGAAGGAGTATAATCCAGTGAGATAAATTTGGAACATAGTTGAAATTCAATGTAGTCGAGTGTTATGTTTATCTTTTAATGTTTAGATTTCCCTATTTTGAACTCACATATTAGTTTGTGTCCCAATTTGAGTTCCACAATAGGACGAAACGACCGTCCAGTGCTTCTAGGTTTTCCATGGTGGTCTAGCTTCAACTTACTCATAATTTCAACTATATATAAAAATCATATAATAATTATAAAGGATGTATTTGATAGTCTAGAACACGTGTACTTTTTATGGAATATGGTTGATCACTTACAGTTCTTAATAATATAAGTACATTAAATTGTCTTTAACAAAAAAGGTATGTATATTACAGATACAAATGGATCATTTAAATGAAAACCGAACAAAAATATCATCTAATTTATTTTATTTTATTTAAACACATAAATATTGGTATAAAGGGGCACCAGATATATATGCGCCACACAAATCTCATTTGATTTGTGTGAGGGCTGTGATACTGCCCAAATACCCAAACTGAAGCAGGTGGTTTTCTTAGGGGGCCACACCCCGAGCCTTTGACCTAAAGGTCTAACCCACAAGGCAGTGGAGCATCGTACGGAGATGCAGTCCCATGGTAGCCGATGACCGACGATTGGTTCACACGCCATTTGTTCCCTTCAGGATACTGGAGCCCATGTGCACTATTGGTTTGGGATCAGGGTTTTCCAACTCTCCTAGGTGGGCTTACCGTGTCCGACAACCCGGTTAAAGCGCTTTACATTCGCTTTTTGTCCTCTCAATTTCATAAACAGTAATGCCACGAGATCCTGGGTCCGAATCTCGCGAGGCGAGGTCGTGGATGCGCACTGCTAAGGAGTCCCACAATAGAACGAAACGGCCGTCCAGTGCTTTTAGGTTTTGCATGGTGGTCTAACTTCAATTGACTCACGCTTTCAACAATAATTAATTGATTGAAGCCCACGGATTTTAACTATTTAGTTGCTGGTTCACAACCGACTTCAACTATTTACATATAAACAATCATATAATAATATAATCACTCATAGAATTGTAATATACCTCCAAAATCGAATACATGGATTCATGTTTATTAAATAAATGTTATATAAATAAAAAAATTAGTAATTGATCAAAGTTGTATGTATGACTAAAATGTCTACTAGATACGAAGTTGCCTTTTCAATTATTATTGTGGTATGGGTTACTGATATCCATATAAGTAGTATATGATGATGGTCGGGTATTGAATGTATTTCAGTAGAAGATCGATAAGGAGAGAACGGGAACAGCACGCAATTGTTATGAAAATGCATGAACAATTATAATCGGAGACAATGGATTGATATTTGCAGAAGCAACAGTCAAGATTGAGACAATACATTCGATTGTCCTCACCCGTGTTCTTGTTCACTACATTATCAAGAGCTGTTATGACTAGTACTATTTGAATTACTTCATAACATAATAGTTATTTTTATCTGTAAATAATTGTTGTCTTTTTATTTACTTAACACTATTTCCTTCTCTCAATGTATTTTATGAAGGATACTGGACAGCCAAGTATTGGTCATCATATGGGTCCCTTAGAAACTGGTCAAATATATTCCGGAGGTAATGTTAGACTATATTAGTTTTATGTACATATATATATATATCATGTGCTGTGGACCGAAATTGAAAGTTTTATTCCTTCCCATATGTGTATAGTTTTTTTGTAGTCCAGTGATTCAAACATCCCACGGTTAAAATTAAGGAATAGCTAATTCTCAGTGGTCTCTCGGTTAAGTGCTCTGGCGAGAGACCGGTAGGTCCTGGGTTCGAATCTCGCGAGTACGGGATGGTGGATGCGCGCTGCTGAGGAGTCCCATAATAAGACGAAACGGCTTTCCAGTGCTTCCAGGTTTTCCATAGTGGTCTAACTTCAATTCACTCATGAATTCAACTCTATAAAATAACTAATTCTGTTTGATCTACCGGACCACAAAATTGTTAACTGTTATTTAGGTAAAGTGTATCAAAGCGTATGAATTAATGTTAGAATACATTATAGTTACGAAATGATTATATTGTTAGTCCATATCACCTATTTGTTTAACCTCTATTGACCCATAATCTATCTGAATACTGTAAAATGTATTTGTTTAAAAAAAGATCCAATTTTGAAAACATTCTTGGACAATTATTCTTAGGGTGTTAGTAATCTGAAAAGATCGGAATGTCATAAACAGTTATCAAGCAAAGATTGTAGCATAATTAGGCCGTTCATTGTGATAAAATCAATCTCTAGAATTTCTCAATGTGTTAATTGTCCCTTTTTACATTGAGATATATAACTGCTTCGACTAAATGTACCTATTTGTTCTTTAACTTGTTCGGAGGTGTTTACATCTCATGATTCATCATAATGTTTATGCATTGTTGATACTAACTACAGATAAAGTATACGTACGGTAATTTTCTCAATTATTTTCCCTTTACATAACTTTATGAAAAAAAGAAAACAGACTCATAGTGAACTATTGTTATCTATTAGAAACGAATAAAAACTGACATTAATATTGTATAGTAACAAGTCAATACTTTGCATAGATGCAAAGTGATGACTTGTTACTATATGTGTTACGTATGCCTGAACACCGATTATCACGACGTGCTATGCTGAGTAGTGTAGGGGATGGTTGGAAGAAAGTTGGTGTCTGACGAAATCTCAGCACGGATTCAAAAAGCTCGTTTGGCTTTTGCCAACTTACATCACCTATGGCGTAGACGAGATATCCGTCTATCAATTAAGGGACGAGTATACTGCGCATCAGTTCGCTCTGTTCTACTTTATGGCTGTGAAACATGGCCATTAAGAGTAGAAGATACTCGTAGGTTACTAGTATTTGACCACAGATGCCTTAGAAATATTGCTCGCATCTGCTGGAATAACCGGGTAAGTAATAGTGAGGTTAGACGCAGGGTATTAGGGAACGATGGTAAGTCAGTTGATAAGGTGATGAATCTTCATCGACTGAGATGGTTGGGCCATGTGTTACGTATGCCTGAACACCGATTACCACGACGCGCTATGATGACTAGTGTAGGGGATGGTTGGAAGAAAGTTAGGGGCGGCCAAACCAAAACATGCCATCAGTGTTTGAAGTCACTAACTTATAGTCTGAGCTACATTGGCAGATGCAGACTACTTGGTTGGGATCCGCGTGACTATCGTAACCAATGGTTGGAGACTCTGGGTGACATGGCTCAGAATCGATCACAATGGCGTAGGTGTATACACTCTTTATCTTCTCTTAAACCTTGAGACTAAAATTGCTTGATATCTGTCTTCCTTCCTATACTATATCTTTATATACAACCTTTCTTTATATACTACCACCACTAAATTAACTACTTCTATGAATCCGGTGTTCGTTTTGTTGTGCTAACGAGGTATGGCAACTTGGACCGATGCATAAATGTGCCTGGTCCTACGTTGTAGCTGATTGACTGACTTTGCATCTATTAGATGTTTGTATTTGAACAGTTTACACATAATGAAATTCTGGTGTTCATTTGTGTATCTAATTAATTTCTCGAGAGAATTATCATTCAACCACCTGATGGAAAGTAGAATACTTCTCCCCCTCCGCCTCTGCGGGACATTTAATTTCGAACTGTCTGCCAAAGTACTAGTACTACTAACTTTTGCTATGCTTAATGTATCTTAGAAAACGGTTAGTATTTCTTTGATTCTTTTTTTTAAATCCTGATTTCTGAAATATACTCCAACTATCTACGTTTAGTCGGTTTATAATGATAACGTATTTTTCTTTTTACGATATGTTTGATTCACAATAATTAGGACCGAAGTTACATTTATTTCTATAGTGATCTCAAGTGGGTTCTTGACCTCGTTAATCTATTTCATAGTGAAACGATATACTCAGTAATCAACTTGACTTTTCTTAAATTTTTCTACATTTAAACTAACATGAGAATGCATAAAACCATTTAAATGTGGATGACATTTTGAAGTTTATTGTTTTCTGTACTACTTGTGTTTAAATTAGTAATAGTATGAGGATTTGTGGAGATTGTAGTATTTTCAGTTAAATTTGCAAGTACATCCAACCTAGAACACCATTGAAAACCTGAATGGACTTGGCGGCCGTTTCATCTTAATATGGGACTCCTCATCAGTGTTCAGTGGTATAGAGATTAAGCGTTCGCGCGTGAGACCAAAGGTCCTGAGTTCGGGTCTCGCGTGCGGGATCGTGGTTACGCATTACTGAGGTGTCCCATATGGGGACGAAACGGCTGTCTGGTGCTTCCAAGTGTTCATTAATAGTCTAGCTTAGATTGACTCGTGAATTCAACTGTTAAAACTCATAATAAGTCAAAGACTTCAGCAGAGGTAATGAACAGTAGCATTCGATCATGTCGAGTATCAGATAGTTAGCCACCAATAAGGACATTTGAAAATGGTTGCGCAATATAATGAATTGATTGGATTTAAACATAAACTATCAGATACCAGTCAATAGAGCTTTATTGCTCGTCATAAGACCCTGAATTTAAGAGTTCTAGCCCTAGTAAGGGAGTTGTTCTTGCGCACTGTTGTGGACTTGTGTCATTCTGGTGTAAAACAATTATCTAGCGTTTTATGATTATCAGTGATTGTTTAACTAAGGTTAGTACATAATGCAAACTATGTGTACAAACTCTTGTCAGTAATACAACATTTATTCATTTTTTCATTCTACTATCATAAAAATTACATAAAAGAGATTCTTTCGAGTTTTTTAGCATTTCATCATGACTCTCTTTATGTCACTCACATTTGGTAAATTAAAATCTGTTTCATTTTGTTATGTAACGTGTTACAAGTAAAAAACGTAGTAGGTATTTCACTAGGAGCTCTTTTCTTAAAAGTACATATTTACTATTCAATATTAATATATTGTTGGGATTCGCAGGATGATAGCAATCGATGGTTAAAGACCTTGAATGACATGGCTCAAAATCATTTGCAATGGCGAAGGTGCATCCACTCTTTGTGTTCTGCCAAATTCTAATCTTCTGAATTCTTCATATCTCTATCTTTTTTCTCTTTTCGAATTTATTTCACTGGATTATATTCCTTCCATAACATCTTCAAACCCTAATCTTTTACGATAACGCTTATACTCTTACTACTTCTACCACTATGGTATTTGAATCGACAACTGTATCTATGTGCTAATGTGATATGGCAGCTCGAACTGATGTACGTACGTACGTATGAAGTTCCACGTTGTGACTGACTGACTGACTGAATATATTATTGCACTGCTTTCTATTGTTATTATTATTATTTCCATATTGTTACAGGATCTTGTGAAGTTTTTTCTAATCTAATTGGTGCTCGTGGTAAAGATGTTTTATATGTTGGTGATCATGTTTATGGTGATATATTAAAATCGAAAAAAACTGTCGGTTGGAGAACATATTTAATTATACCAGAATTAGCAAATGAAATTTATGTTTGGAAAAAGAAAAAATCATTATTTGATGAATTACAAAAGATTGATAATAATTTAGAAACAGTCTATCGGTTAGTTAATTCACTTGTGGTTAATTTTTTCCTTTCTGATGAAACTAAGAAAAAAACCCAGAATAAACCTTGTTAAGTAAAGATGGATAGTGGCTAGCAGTGGAATTCAGGATGCGCACCACTTCGTCCTATTTGGGACTCGTCAGCTGGATGTGCCTGCATCTTAGAGTTGATGTTCACTCTGGGACTCGAACCTATTACCTTTCGCTCCACTCGGCCAACTGAGTTGTGATATCCACCTGCTAGCCACTATTCATCTTTGCTTACAATGCTTGTGAATTAAGGCAATATCGAGGCAATACGCACAGTATGCACGTATGCTAATTAGAGACTGATCAGTTGCAGTCCTAACACATCGATGGGAAGATTCAAACAAATAATACTATGTTGAATTTAGAATAAATCTAATTTGTGAAAAATCAAGAAAAAACACTTGTATTAATTGGTTGTACTAGTTTAATAACGTTTTTTAGCATTGTGTACAACATTGACTTCACACAGGATCTTGGTGAGCACGAGATGCATTTCTGTACGTATTTTCAACTGGTCATATTTTTTTCAACTTCCACTAATTCTGATATGAAGTTATCAATGTATATTACTGTTATGACATGTGGTGTCTGACAGTTGATACATACTTCTTATACCCTAATCTGACGTCCTTAAGTTAAAAGACTGAGAATGAGAAGGAATTTTATTGGATACCCGAATCAAGAAACAACTGTGTACTCGTTTATGTATATATGATTTCCTTTGTGAAATGAGGCAAATCTGTAATTTATGTTTAATTAACTGCAAACCAAAGTCATTCCTTGATCAATCATATGCATGTTGCCGATTTTTGATTGGTCCACTGTATCAACATCTATAATGGTATAAGTAAGGGTTTTCAATTTCTTGTCGATATTCATGACTACAATTTATCAGCCTCTGTTGCCATATGGCCAATTAACTGATGGTGGAATCCATGATGTGCGTTCCTTCTGTTTGGCATTTTTCATTTAGATGTATCTGCATCACATTGTTAATGTTCCCATTGAAGCTCGAATCCAGTTTATTTATTTAAACACATAAACATTGGTACAAGGAGGCACCAAATATATATGCACCACACAAATCAAATGATTTGTGTGAGGGATGTGATACTGCCCGGTCGCCCAAAAGGAAACAGGAGTGGCTATCTGAACTCAGCAGTCGAGTGGATAACGCGATGGCATTTGTAGAGAACAATGTTGGCTTTGAGTCCTAGACTGAATACCAACTCTGGGATGTAGTTACATGCAGATGATGATTCCCAAATAAAATGAAACGTGTCTTCCGAATTCCATCCCATCTATTCTAAATCAAAATGCTAACAGTCACTTAATAACTTAAGCTTAATTAAAATGGTGATATATATATTTTAAATAAGGATGTTTTTATTACTCAACAATGAGTTTGTTATGTTGAATGTGTTTTTATCAAGTCTCAGTAATAATAATTTTAAAATAAGTAAGTTTTGAATATCTTCTAGGAATTACGGGTACTTATGGAAATGTTACTGTTATATCGAGTGCTTGCGTGCCCAGCTGATATATATGACGTTATAAGACCGCCAATCAGAAAGGAGTGAATTATCGATCAGAGCAATGATTCACAAAAAACGTACGAGCAGTCTTGAGTATTTGTCGGTCCTGCTATCTGCCTAGCCCAGCCAGTTAAGTCCAGAACACCAATAACAGCCTCTGCAATATGAATCATTATTCTCAAATATAATGGGTTTATATACCAAACAGACAGATCGCATCGTACCAATAAAATAGAAATAACATTTGTACAAGATTTGGTCAAATGTCTCTGTGAATAGGGGGAACAGTAATCAATAGACTGGGGATAACTTGAGAATGGTCATTCGTACAGTAATAGTCTATAGGTCAAAATAAAGCTTATAATAAGAGGGACACGAATATGAATAGTTGAGTTACTTAACGATTATACAATAGGAAATATACATATCATATTGGTCCATAAATAGTTCTCGAAAGGTACCATTCATAATTCTCCATGGGATACAACAGTTATCTTATGCAAATGAAATATTGTATTTTAAATGAGAATTTGTCCTTATTAATATTGAATTACGTTAAAGAGTGATAACTTTTCATTGTGTTTACTGTTAAACTGTAAACATTTTTTTAGTACAATAAAAAAGGATCAGAAATGAATGATCCATGCAAAATCAAACAATAGTACCGTAGCAAAAAAATGTAAAAGGAAACCTTATTTAATCAATTATAAGTCAATACGAATAATAATTTTCTTTTAAAAGATGTTTTTATGAAAAGAAAAATCAAAGGTGATTTTGTCTAGACAATAAAGTTAATTTTACTTAATGTAATGGGAATCTATAACACTGCCTGTAGCTCTTCTAGGGCTACTGCCGGTCTCAGGTCAGGGTAAAACAAGAGGTTTTGGTATGGTGTCGACAATCCCATCCCGTAGAAAACAGCCTTGCTAAAACAAACGCTAATCGGAAGTAAATAATGAAAATCTATGTCATGACAGTTAATAACTTCTATCACGAACCATGTTTGACAACGTGTTAAATCCTCTGACTGCCGTAATTTGTGGATTTCCGATCAGGAAATAGGTGTTAGCCCTATGTAACTATCTCTTACATCACAATGCCATTTTATAAATTGATTATTTCTCCACACTTTCTGCCCAATTTCAGCGTCCAGGCAAATAGTACATACTGTGGAAACCACTAGGATGACATTCGTAAATTATGTCGTAAGAGATGGAAAAGGCATCGGCTGTAGGCAACACCAGGCAACTATTCAGACTAATAAAAGAAACCGGATTTAAGAAGTCAAGTGTGAGACAATCTCGGAAAAAGATGGAACCCTTATCTGCTCTCAACCCAAACGTTTAGAACGATGGGCGGAACACTTTAAGGAGCAGTTTAGCTGGCCTTCAGCTACTGCACAACTACCCACCACTCCTAGAAAACCTGAATGGAACATTGAAGTAGGCCCCCCGACCCTACTTGAAGTTCAAAAGGCTATAAGTAATCTGAAACGAGGAAGAGCAGCTGGTCCTGATGGATTGGTTCCAGAGGTCTTTAAATATAGTGGCCCAATTTTAGCGATTAGGTTGACTAATATTCTGGCTAAAATCTGGGAGACGGGTGTAATCCCATCCGACTGGTCACAATCACTGATTGTCCCAATATATAAAAAGGGGTCAAAATCATCCTGCGATAACCGTAGAGGGATTAGTCTGACTAACATAGCATCTAAAATACTAGCCTCAATAATTATCAGGTGCCTAACTAAGACTCGTGAACTGCAAACACGAGAAAATCAGGCTGGCTTCAGACCTGGTCGTGGCTGTATCGACCACATATTCACCATTCGTCAAGTTTTAGAGCACAGACATGCTTATCGGCGTCCGACAATGATAGTTTTTCTTGACTTGAAAGCAGCATTTGACTCTGTAGACCGAGAGGTTCTGTGGCAGTGTCTGTCATTGGAAGGTGTACCTGAGAAGTACATAAACCTTGTGAAGGCTCTTTACTCGAACACTATTAGTCGAGTGAGAGCTTATGGCGAACTGTCATATGATTTTACAACCTCAAGTGGTGTCCGACAAGGCTGTCCACTATCCCCATTTTTGTTTAACTTCATTATAGACTTGTTGCTGGAAATAACACTCTCGTCGACTGAATTTTTAGGAATTGATCTCCTACCAGGGGGACCACTAAGCGACTTACAATACGCAGATGACATAGTCCTGTTTGGTGATGACGCTGGCAAAATGCAGAGTCTTCTGTTGGAACTGAGTAATAATGCCAGGATGTTTGGGATGCGTTTCTCGCCATCCAAATGTAAATTGTTACTCCAGGACTGGCCTGCGTCAACACCCGAACTAAGGATAGGGAGTGAAGTGGTCGAACGCGTCGACAACTTCACTTATCTTGGAAGTCTGATCAGTCCTAATGGGTTGGTGTCTGACGAAATCTCAGCACGGATTCAAAAAGCTCGTTTGGCTTTTGCCAACTTACATCACCTATGGCGTAGACGAGATATCCGTCTATCAATTAAGGGACGAGTATACTGCGCATCAGTTCGCTCTGTTCTACTTTATGGCTGTGAAACATGGCCATTAAGAGTAGAAGATACTCGTAGGTTACTAGTATTTGACCACAGATGCCTTAGAAATATTGCTCGCATCTGCTGGAATAACCGGGTAAGTAATAGTGAGGTTAGATGCAGGGTATTAGGGAACGTTGGTAAATCAGTTGATAAGGTGATGAATCTTCATCGACTGAGATGGTTGGGCCATGTGTTACGTATGCCTGAACACCGATTACAACGACGCGCTATGATGACTAGTACTGGGGATTGTTGGGAGAGAGTTAGGGGCGGCCAAACCAAAACATGGCATCAGTGTTTGAAGTCACTAACTTCTAGTCTGAGCTATATTGGCAGATGCAGACTACCTGGTTGGGGTCCGCGTGACTATCGTAACCAATGATTGGAGACTCTGTGTGACATGGCTCAGAATCGATCACAATGGTGTAGGTGTATACACTCTTTATCTTCCCTTAAACCTTGAGACTAAAATTGCTTGATATCTGTCTTCCTTCCTATACTATATCCTTATATACAACCTATCTTTCATATACTACCACCACTAAATTAACTACTTCTATGAATCCGGTGTTCGTTTTGTTGTGCTAACGAGGTATGGCAACTTGGACCGATGCATATATGTGCCTGGTCCTACGTTGTAGCTGACTGACTGACTATATCGTATGCACTGATGAAAATTTTTTGCAATGGTGACACTGAGTAACTTATCATCCCTATGTTTGAACACATTGTTAAACTTAAGTATTACATCGTATAGCCATTAGAAATCAACAATTATTTAAAGACAACATTAGTAGGAAGCGGGAATTTTCAAGACACATCCTCAATTCAAAGTAGATAAGTTTCACAAGCTTCTAACATTAGAATCGATCTCATCATTTTACATCTCTATATGGAATATTAAATTTTAAAAGTTTTCCTTGATCCAAGTTCTTATACTGTCTGTGAATATTATTTTCATATATTGACTTGGTGGACTACTATTTGGGTTAACCGATTTCATCTTTTGTTTATTTACCACATAAATTATGTTTTATATATTAGGGAAAACGAAGATGTTGCTTCACTTCCATATTCCACTCCATCTCACTACAAACACTCTAATCTCATCCTTTAAAAAAACAGTATCAGTTAACAATGATAATTGACCATTATTATTTTACAAATAAACAAATGGATCATAGTTCTTGTTTATTTTTTGTTATTGTTGCCTTATATCGATAATAATAAGACATGTTTTCTTTTTCATTGCATAACCTTCCTTTCATTCTACTTTATTAAATATTTCATTAGTGATTTGAATATCTCATCGAATATAAGACCGGATGTTGGAGATTTACAAAGAAAAATTCGGGTAAGTAAATATTTGGTAAATATATTTATATGATATTAATAAGTTCTATGAACTTAAATAGTTGAATTGCAGAGTTTCAATTTTTCATTAGGAACAATATTTCTAGCATTTATTTCATGTAGAAGTAAACTTTTCACTTATTTTCATAATTGAAAGCGTGAGTCAATTAAAGCTAGACTATCATAGAAAACCTGGAAGCATTGGACAGCGGTTTCGTTCTATTATGGGACTCCTCAATAGTGCGCATCCATGATCCCGTCTCGCGAGCGAGATTTGAACCCAGGATCTACTAGTCTCGCGTCAGAGCATTTAACCGATAGACCACTGATCCGGTTGGCATCCAACGGTGTTAATGTCTTCAACTTCAACTTCACTTAGTTTACAATTGTTTTTATGATTAGCTGTCTTTGTAAAGTTCTATGCTTGGATAAAACAGCTGTTAAATGCTTTCTGGTTTTCAATATTTTTGTAACTTAATTTGGTTCTGGATCTTAATAATATCAAACAATTTCCACAACCCCTATAATGATAATTTTCATGTGCTTACTAGTGACTAACTTCAAAAGAAATCCTGTTGATTTATAATAAGAAACTATAGTCATGAACCATTGACAATTAACTGTGTTGAGAGTGTGAGTTAAATACTTATCACAGATTTTATTTTTATTATGTTAGCATGTATTGGTTTCCTACTGAATAATTGAAGAGAAATGGATTTGAATTTATTTTCACACTGTAAATAACACACATGATTATTTAAAATAAATAATCCATTCAGAGTTCGATTCAATGAAATAGAAAAAAAAGGACAATATTAGAATGATTTCGATTAGTTTTCAAAAGGAATTTTGTGGAAATTTATTATTTTCATAGTTGAAAGCATGAGTCAATTGAAGGTAGATCACTAAAGAAAACTTGAAAGCACTGGACGGTGCAATGCTGAGGAGTTTCTCACAATAAAACGAAACGGCCGTCCAGTGCTTCCAGGTTTTCCATGATGGTCTAGTTTCTATTGACTCATGCTTTTAACTATCAATTTTTATTTCCTCAATGATTATCATCATTATTATACGTGACTGATGAATGATATACAGTCAAGGTTTACTATTATTTATTATTATTACTATTATTACTATTGTTATGATGACACATCAATGACCATATTTGTTCATAAGTTTGTTAAACATTAGAATGAAGGTCAAAAATGTATTATAAATAATCTATCATGTGAGTTTCGTTGTGTTTACGATTTATCAGCTGTATGTCGATCCAGAAAAAATAAAGAAAAAAAAAACAAATTAGGTCAAACCATCCAATTCTAGAAATGATAATTCAGTCAGTCAATCAGTTACAACGTAGAACTTCGTACGTACGTATGTACATCAGTTTGAGTTGCCATACCAGAAATGATAATTAAATAACATGTATTTGTACTACTACCAACTTGATTTATTTGTATCATGTTACTTATCACTTTTAGACACTTTATGTCTTGCAAACTCCTGGCAGATGTTATCTTATCAGATACTAACCATCCACTTCATTTATATCTTTCTCTTTGTATATCTTCTGGTAGAACGAGATGTAAATACATTAGAATCCATACACGCAAGTAAATCTATAAAAGTTCTGTAATACTTTATCTAGCAAATATACTCTGTGACGAACAGGTTGTTAGAGTTAACCTAGTCAATAACCTGTATTCTTAAGCATGTCTCAAATTTGATAAGTTGTACAGACACAAATGTTTCTTTCATTTCTTGTTTTTTTGGTTAAAAAAAAAACTTGTTGAAATACCTCACGCTGCGAATTCTATATTGTACCACAATATAATATTGAGTAAAGTCATTATTAATGATAATAATAGTAATAATAATAATAAACATCATTTAATGACAATTATTGTTTCATTTAAGAGATTGGTCAATGTTGTGGAACATTTCTACATGTTTTATTTAATTAATCAACAATCACTGATAGTATGTGTATTACATATTATAGTTGAAATCATAAGTCAATTAAAGCTAGACTACCATGAAAAACCTGGAAGCACTGGATGGCTGTTTCGTCCTATTGTGAGACTCCTTTGTAGTGCGCATCCACAACATGGCCTGGTGATATTCGAACCCAGGATCTGAGCTGTCATCCAACGGTGTTCATGTCGTGGGCGCGCACTGCTGAGGAATCTAACACTAGAACGAAAAGGCTGTCCAGTGCTTCCAGGTTTTCCATGGTAGTCTAGCTTGAATTGACTCATGATTTCAACTATAAAATTACTAAAATCTCCTCAAACCTTCTTTGATATTACATATTAATTGTATATGTTTTGTAAATGTTTCTCTTTTGTTCATCCCGTTTTATTGAATATATATATATGTCAAGGCTATAGCTCAACAAATGGAAGAGTCTTATGGTGCATTGGGAAGTATTTTCAGAAACGGTTAGTTTTGAAATCAGTATTTTTTTCTCAAAAATGTCTGTTGTATTAGTTATTTGAACAATCAGTATTCTTGTTAAAACTGTGGCCATCATATACATTAGGTGATGTTTGTCAAACCGATTGCAATAGGTATTATATAATTTTAAAAACATTGTCTTACAGTGATTACCTGTGAATTATGTAATGATGATAACGATGATGGTGAAGTTAAGCAAATCAAGAACCACAAATTTCCAACTGGATTTCATTACTACCTATGTGTACACATACAAAAGCAAATTTACAGTACATCTCAAAGAGTAAAGACAGTCCATATTACTTTGTTATTCAGTGACTAACATTAACTAGTGGACCATTTTTGAACTAGTAATCCTGATTGACTGTTTAACCTGTATTCGTACAAATCATTTCTATAAACTAAGCTTTTCTACTCCTGGCTTACTCTATTGTCTATTTGTAAGCTCTTTTCTAACAATTTACTATTAATAGCTTGAATGTAGCTGAACCCTAAAAAATGCACACCTCGCCTTATCCCACGGATTTTCGTCTCCGGCGCTAAGGTCCTTTAAATAACGGAGTTAACACGTCAAAAATCCCCCACAAGTAGGCCGTGCGTGACCGGCCTCAAGCATTTGTCCCTTGGGCACTGCGGTCATGCTCTCAGGTCGTTAAGACCAACACTAATCCAACTTCCTTTTCAGGTCCCTCAAGAAATACCCTTCCACGGTTTCGACTGCCGGGAAGTGATATTAGCCTTCATACCCGTAACTGCACACGAGACAAAGTTGGTCCCTTTCAAATCCTTCCTACACCGAATAACTCTCTTATCTCCATGACTAAACATTCTCACGTCCTTTTATCACCTGTCACCGCTAGTGCAAACGATTCGAGTACACGGAACGTTATTCCTGGTCTCCTCATCGACTGAAGAATGAATTTAATGTATATTTGATTCTTAGTTGTTTTTGTTCCATTTCAATTTCATATAGATTATCAATTGATTGTATTATGATCTTGAGTTAAACCTCAATTTTAATTCGTTGGTAAATATGTTACATTTATTTCAACCTCCATGATATACACATTTTTTTTGGGCAGTCCTTTGAACAGGATATTATAATCCACTCTTAATCGTAACCCAACTACATACTTTACTGAGAAAATCAACAGTAAACAGAAAGGTTTTATTAGTCGACCACAAACAAATTATATGCACTAACTCGTTTAATACATACATATATATATATATATATATATATATATATATATATATATATATAATATATTCGTAGGCTACTAGTATTCGATCATAGGTGTCTTCGAAGCATTGCTCATATATCCTGAGACCACCGAGTAAGTAATGCAGTCGTTTGGAAACATGTACTAGGAAAGGATGGCAAGTCGATAGATGAAGTATTGAAACTTCATCAGGTGAGATGGCTGGGACACGTGTTACGTATGCCCAACCACCGACTGCCCCGACGTGCAATGTTTCATGGTGTAAGAGTAGGTTGGAAGAAAGCTAGGGTCGGCTAGATCAAAATGTGGCATAAATCCATGAAGTCACTGACAATTGGACTGAGCCATATTGGTAGGTATAGACTACCTGGTTTGTATTCGCGAGATGATAGCAATCAATGGTTAAAGACCTTGAATGACATGACTCTAAATCGTTTGCAATGGCAAAGGTGTATCCACTCTTTGTGTTCTACCAAATTCTAACCTTTTAACCTTTCCAAATTTACTTCACTGTGTTATATATATAAAGTTATGAGCAATTTAAAATCTCAGAATCCCGGGAAAGACAAAGAATAGATGAACCTGTGCCACGCCAAACTATTTTGACCCATACCATTCAAAGTCTCTAAGCGTTGGTTATGTTAATCGCGCGGACCACAACCAACTAGTCTACACCTATTAGCTTAGCACAATCCAATTTTCAGTGACTTCATGTACTGATGCCATGTTTCTGTTTGGCCGCTTCTAACTTTTTTCCCACCTTATTCTTTCACTAGAAAGTATCACTCGTCAAGGTAGACGGTAGTTGGGCATACGTAACACATTTCGCAATCACCTCAGTTGATGAAGATTCACTAACTCAATAATCGATTTCCCACCTTTATCAAGAACTCTATTCCTAACCTCAAGCATTGCTTACTTCTTGATCCCAAAACCTGCAACTAGTCGGCTTAAAAAATCTTACCTGAAAATATATTAAGCATGATTATTATTTATTTGATAGCTTATCATGCATAATTGTAAAGGATTTTAGATTATCATAATTATGTTTCATTATGATTGATTGATCCCTAATTAGCGGCCAATGTCGTATTTGTACAGTTCTTTAATAGGGATAGAATTTCACGAATTAAAAAGGATTGTGGCCATTAGTCTAAGTGATTCGACATTAAGTGTCTTGTTGATAAATACGTTAGGTAATTGTCATGTTAAGTATTTTAATTAGTCAGTTGAATGTTTTGCCTTATAATGGAAATTAACGTTTAGATCATTGGCATATGGAAACACAATATACACTAAAACTATTGATTATTTATAGGTTTCCTTTTCTCTCTGTTATATTATTGTTATTATTACGTTTGATTTTTATTGTATTTCAGGTTCTCGTCATACATTCTTCTCATCTCAAGTGTTACGTTATGCTGATTTATATTCTTTTTCTTGTATCAATCTTATCTACTATCCTTTATGTTATATGTTTCGTGCACCAGCTATGCTTATGCCTCATGAATCAACTGTATCTCATGGTGATTCACCAAAAGATAGTTTCTCTGATTTGGATGCTTTACCGTGTGGACTTCGTCGACGTACTAGAAATGGTAATTTATACTTAAATAGATTGTAATGTATCTCTCTCTCCTCCCTCTCTCTGTCTGTCTGTCTCTCTCTCTCTCTCTCTCTCTCTATATATATATATATATATATATATATATATATATATTCGTAGGCTACTAGTATTCGATCATAGGTGTCTTCGAAGCATTGCTCATATATCCTGGGGCCAATGGAGCATAGGCCGCCGACCAGCATTCTCCAACACGCTCTGTCCTGGGCCTTCCTTTCTAATTCTGTCCAATTTTTGTTCATTCTTCTGACGTCTGTCTCCATTTCTCAGAGTAATGTGTTCTTTGGTCTTCCTCTTCCCCTTTAGCCTTCAGGATTCCATGTGAGTGCTTGTCTTGTGACGCAGTCGGGTGACTTCCTCCATGTGTGTCCTATCCACTTCCAGCTCTTCTTCCTGATTTCTTCCTCCAACGGAATCTGGTTTGTTGTCTCCCACAGTAGGTTGTTGTTGATAGTGTCTAGCTAACGGATCCGAAATATTTTGCGTAGACAACTGTTAATAAACACCTGTATCTTCTAAATGATGGCTTTCGTAGTTTTACACGTCTCCGCCCCATACAGTAGAACTGTCTTGACATTTGTATTGAAAATTCTGATCTTGATGTTGATTGTCAATTGTTTTGAGTTCCAGATGTTCTTCAGTTGTAAATATGCTGCTCTTGCTTTGCCCACCCTCGCCTTCACATCTGCATCAGATCCACCGTGTTCATCGGTGATGCTGCCCAGATATGTAAAGGTTTCCACATCCTCCAAACCTTCTCCGTCAAGTATATATATATATATATATATATATATATATATATATATATATATATATATATATAGACCTTTCCAGCTCCCTCAATTAATTTTCATCCACATATATAATTCGTAGCAAATTCTATGAAAGCTGTCAAAGGGCATTTTCACTCTAACTTAACTCTTATTTATAATATGATTATAAATGTTCATAGATTTGTTTACTGAATTGTATACCTTAGAGCCACTTATTCATAGTGTCTACACTATAGGTATGATCGATTCTTCAGTACATGAGTTAGTTCAGAATTAAACAGAACTATTAAGTTTCATGTCCGTATTTAGATTTTTATAGTTCAAATAATCAGTCAATTGAAGCTAGATCATCATGGAAAACCTGGAAGCACTGGACAGCCGTTTCGTCCTATTGTGGGACGACTGACTGACTTCAAGAGATATTTCCTCGAGTTCTAGTGGGAAGCAGTGACCAGTGGAGTTCTACCAAGTCTGTTGTAGAGATATCAACTAGCTGAAGACATTTGGTGAACGGTTGCTCAGGTTTCGTGGATTGGTTGAAGTTAGACATTAACATCGTTGGATGCCGGCTCAGTGGTCTATCGGTTAAGTGCTCTGACGCGAGACTGGTAGGTCCTGGGTTTGAATCTCATTAATGATTAACTCTAAGAAGAATCGGGATTGTGGATGTGCACTGCTGAGGAGTCCCATAGTAGGACGAAGCGGCCTTCCAGTGCTTCCAGGTTTTCCCTGGTTGTCTAGCTTCAATTGACTTATGATTTTAACTATGAAAATACTAAATTCTCCAGAAAGCCCCTTCTGAAGTATTTAAATTACAGGAATTGTTATTCAGTAGGCTTTTTTTTTCATTTCATAACTTGTTATGTTATAACTTACAAATTAACTTTTTCTGAAATTTAACCTAGATGATAGTTCTTTTTTTTATAAAAAAAAATTGAAGGTAACAGTGTCGTTCCATTACCAAAACTCTTGTGTTTATTGTTTTTCATTGTTTATTTTTATTGAAAGAAATCACTCCATTATCGCCGGGTAAAAATGGTCTCAACTCTACTTTGGAGAGTTCACATTATTCTAGTAATAATAATAGTGCTATATGTGAATCTGATGAAGAACAGGATGACTCATTTGATTCCGATTAAAGGTTAGTGTTTATTCATTTGTAAGATGAGGTTAAAAGGACTATGGTGATAATTTCAATTAAAATTTGATGTTAGTAATGATTGTTCTAGGTGTTAGTTGTTTTTAATGTTGTTTTTTGTTGTAGTACATTTTAAGGCTTTTGTAATCATTTTCCGCATTCCGGAAATTATATTACTTCCTCGCGTATTTTAACGGTTTTGGAACTAAGGTAGGCGTCATTAAAGAAAACTTGGGATGGAGTAGCTAAATTTAAAAAATTGGCGTCGATCCATGAAATTATTATCTGTTAACCTGTTAGGTATGATAGTTAATGCTAACGATTGGTTTACGATCAGAACCCCAATCACGACTAATGGTTGAAAATTGTGAACGATAATGATTAGAATAGATCACAGCTGTTCAGATCCATCCACGCTTCATATTTTCCATAGGATATTTTATGTCACTAGTATTGGATTAGAGATGTGTCTTTAGCGCATCGTTTGCATATTTTGTAACCACTGAGTTTAAACACAAGGTGCTGAGTGAGGTTGGCAAGTCGATTGTTAAGGTAGTGAATCTTCACCAATTGAGGCTGTTGGTACATATTTTATGTAGCCTTGACAACTATCAGCCTCGTCGGGTGGGTAATATTCTTTCTTCTTGTAGTAGTAGTTGTCTATTTTGCTGAGATCACGTCTGGTTTACACTGAACTAATATGTGTCGTCTATTTAGTCTTTAGGTTATTAAGTGTTGGCATTACGTTCTAATTCCAAATTTTCATTCATTCGTCCATCTATTTAATCTACGTATGGGTATGTATACTTATGTTTCATTATAGTGGTTCTTTCGAGAGAGTTTTACAATTTGCTTGGTGATTTGGTTATTTTATAGAACTCATCAATATCGTGTAGTTGTCATTCATCATATTCCCTGTTATAGTAAATTATTTAGTCTTATACTGAATTTTAATTGATTCAACACCTAGGGGAGTTAGAAAACCCTGGTTCCAAACCAGTTGTGCACATGGAATCCAGTATCCTGAGGGAACAAATGGCGTCGGCTACCATGGAATCGCATCTCCACTACTTTGTGGATCTGACCTCTAGGTTGTAGGCTCGAGGATTAGCCCTCTCCTAAAGAACCATCTGCTTCGGTTTGAGCGCCCGGCCCACACACAAACAAAGTGACTTATATGGGGCATATATATTTGATGCTTCCTTTTATCAATATTAATGAGTTTAAGTATATATGTTTTAATAAGGCAATAATCACTATGACTATCTGACTGACCTACATAGTTGATAAATAATCACGAACTTCTCTGAAGCAGTAAAACAAAAGTTTTCACTATTATTATTATTATTGTTATTATTATTATTATTATTATTATTATTATTATTATTATTATTATTATTATTATTAGGGTTAATTCTTCTAGAGGTACCTGAAAAGGAAATTGGGTTAGAAGTGGTCTTAATGACCTGAGAGCGTGACCGCAGTGCCCAAGGGACAACTGATTGAGATCGGTCACACACGACCTTTTTGTGGGTAGTTTTTGTGTTAGCTCCGTACTTGTTGGGACCTTACCGCTGTAAACGGATATCCATGGGATAAGGCGAGGTGTGCATTTTTAGGGTCAACCTTTTCTAACCCCACCCCTCCTTGTGGGAAGGCAGCATCGCTGTTATGCTGGTTGTCTGAAGGAAACACCTTACTGCTGTCATACCTCTGCACAGTCAGCAGTACGACTTCGCCTCCGGGTCTTGAGTTTGCTGCTGCCTGGTATGGTAGGACCTTGAGGAATGATTACTCCAACCACAATAGCTCGATTGGTTTAGCACGATAGACAAGCCTGACCACCACGCCAAGGCAGCAGTCACTAACTTCTAGTCTGAGCCATATTGTTAGATGCAGACTACTTGTTTGGGGTCCGCATGACTATCATAACCAATGATTGGAGACTTTAGGTGACATGGCTCAGAATTGATCACAATGCCGTAGGTGTATACACTCTTTATCTTCCCTTAAACCTTGAGATTAAAATCGCTTCATAACGTTCTTCCTTCCTATACTATATCCTTATATGCAACCTATCTTTTATATATTACTACCACTAAATTAACTACTTCCATGAATTCGGTGTTCACCTTGTTGTTCTAACGAGATATGGCAACTTGGACCGATGCATAAATGTGCTGACTGACTGACTATTAGGGTTAATAGTAATTAATTATATTGTTTTCTTAGTTAATATGGATCATTTAGTGTGATCAGTGTTCTAAGTAATGGGACTGTGGGGACTGTTGATTCTCATGATACCGATCCAAGTTGTTCAACTTAATTTATTTTATTTATTTTTTTTTCATTTTTCTAGTTATTGAACTTCACCAATTCCTTTTCTTTCCCAATTACTCTATCATTCTTATCAAATAAAAAGCGTAAAAGCTTAAGAAATAAAATAATAAAACAAAATCAAAAGAGAAAAAAAAAGATTGAAGAAAAATGAAAATGTGTCCAATGTGTACACCAGTTCATGCCTGTTCTCTCTCTCTCTCACACACACACACACACTCACCTACAACAAACAAAATCGTTTATTCTATTTATTCAATATTCAATTATATTTACATTTTATCCTAATCAGATTTAATATGATGATTCGTAGAATGATTATTTCATTATTTGTTTATTTTGATTATTTTAATAAACTGCTCATAATTCATTCTATATACATGGTGATTATTTTTATTGATCATTGAATCATTTAAATCTGGCGCTTCTTCTTTTTTATTATTTAAAAAACAAAACAATAAATGAACTATTGATTTAAACATTGAATAAAAATCATCTTGATCATGATGATGATGATGATGATGATGGAGGCGCCTACATTGTTATAACCATATAACTTTACCATCATTATATAATTAGTATTATTCTTTTGTCATATTAACGATAACAATCTTTTACCTCAAAAATGATTTCCCCTCTCTCTCTCTCTCTCTCTCTCTCTTTCTTCCTCTTTTTATCTCCATTCGTTATTATTGTTTACAATGAAGAAAGATACTGAAAAAGACAACAAAAAAATGTAATCCGATAGGATGGGGGATAATTTGGTAAATTCTTTCAAATACATTAATTCTAGAAGAAAAAAAAAGATACAAAATACATGATATTGTTAGTTATATATTGATGCTTGAACTTTATTAGTCTCATTGTTTGAATCATATTCAATTCAATATATCATATGTACTAAACTTAACAAAAATGAATATACCTTTCACTGCTGCTTTCATTTCTGTTTAATAATTAGATATAATATAATACTATTGTTTGTTTAATTATCTACAATCAGATGATTTCTATATGGATAAACTGCTGAACTGATCTCGTAATCATTATCATTAGTGTTATGTAATTTCTTTCTTTTTTTTTTCTCAAAAATAAATTGATTTATGCTTAGGTTAATTTTAATCTTGATATTATTAGATAATTTGTTTATTTGCTCAGTGTGTTACTATTTATCCCACCCACCCCAGCCCCCATATGTGTTGGATGGTGGTGGTGGTGGGGGCGGGAAGGATTTTTCTTTTCTTTTTTTAAATACTTAATTGTGGTGTAAGTAGTAATACATGTTGTTGTGTTTAACAGCCAGTCACTTGTGTACCTTAAAGTGGTTTTTCATATTTAAAAAATAATTATATATCTGTTTACATTTATTAGTATTTATATCGATGTAAATATACATATATGTGTGTGTTCTTTAGTGTATATAACCTTTACCAGGGAAGTTCTACTCATTGCCTTCTAGTGGCATTACTGTTGTTTACGAAATTGAGAGGATGAAAAGCAAATGTCTGGCGCTTTAACTGAGTCGGTGGACACGGAAAGTCCATCTAGAGGAGTTGGAAAACCCTGATTCCAAACCAATGGTGCACATGGGCTGGCTCCAGTATCCTGAAGGAACAAATGGTGTATGAATCAATTGTTGGTCATCAGCTATCATGGGACTGCATCTCCTCACGATGCTTCACTGCCTTGTGGGTTAGACCTTTAGGTCAAAGGCTCCGGGTGTGGCTCCCTAAGAAAACCACCTGCTTTGATTTGGGCACCCGAACAGTATCACAGCCCTCACGCAAAGTGTGGCGCATATGTATCTGGTGCCTTTTGTACTAATATGTATGTGTTTAAAGAAGCTAATAAAAGAAAATGCTAGTTTCTATATTTGTAGAATCAAAAGTATTAAACAGGAAAGAATAATATTGATATACAGGAAAGATAGTGTTATACAAAATTCAAATATTAGATGAACCTATCATGCAAGTTAATATGTGTCCATGTACATCTATTTCCATGAAGCTATATACAATAATGATAAAATAATCTGGTAGTGTTTATAATAGGCATACAGTCATAAAACAATACAGAATGTATCGGATCCAATGTAATGTAAATTTAATGATATGCACGTACAATGCGAAATAAAGAGGAAGACCAAGTAGCACATTGCGTTGGCGATTGGAAGCATACATCAAAAGAATGAATAACAACTGGAAAGGATCACCCAAGATGGATTTGCGCGGAGAATTTTGGTATGCGTCCTATGTTCGTCGACGAGGGGTAACAGGCGTAAGTAACGTTGAAGACGAAGCAGAAAAAATAATTCGTATTCAAAATTGCTAATTCGGAATTGTAGATATATATCGTTGCAACCGTATAACTTCTAGACCATATCTAGTCATTACTAGGCTCTTCATTTATGTCGTTGATGTTTGGAACTCATGTTTGGGTGATGATTTTTAAGGTATCTAGGCGTAAGGGCTGATCATCATTTCAATGAACGCTGCTTTGAATCGGTCGATGCTAATTACAAACTCAGCCAGAATAATTACTAATAAATACTGTGTGTTACCTTAACAGACGTTTATCAGTTAATTGAACTGGGATGATTCTTTGTTTGAGTCAATCATTACGATCAATTTATAGTATAAGCCCAGTTCACAAACCATATTATGTAAATCTATAGTTTCCAACTTGTGACGCCATGGGTTTCGTATATTATAAAGTTGAATAATAATCATTTTAGTGAAAATGCGGAGATCTTCAGACCTACAGCCTAACCTTTTATTTGTGTAGTCATAGAAACCAGGACAACATTTTATATGCATCCTTCTCCACTCTTCAAACAGATACGTTGAGGCAATTTCTCAGGTTTGTTTTTCGAAAAAATTCATAAATTCTGAAAAAAGAATGATGGAAACGATAATTCATTTTAGCAAAATGTATTTAGATATAATAACAAGATATTTTTCTATTTACTCATAAGAATAACTTGTTAGTTGGTTGGAAGTAATCGATACGGAACCCTAGCATAGACATCATTCTAGTCGACTTTCATCATCTTGAAGTAAGTGATGTACACTTTTAGGCTCGAACCTGTAAACTCATCCTCACTGTTTAACCTGATGTACTATAGCACTAAGATACATACAACAGATTAGTGTTTGTCTGGCTCTTATCGCTCATCTAGTTCCGTCTGTGACATTAGTTCCTAACCATTGACCTTTCAATTTTTAAATATTTCAATCACAGAAGTTTAGTAGTGATCCGAATAGTTCAGTGGTTGTATCAGGATTTGTGGTATAGATTCCCAACGAGTGTCAACTAACCAGAAACATAGGTCCAAGGTTATCTGCTGACTATTCCCAGCCTTTTACCTTTACTGTGCTTGCGATTTCCGGTTTTTATACCAGTGACAACATTGAAAATAAGTCAATAGGAGTCGATCAACAGTTACAGTACTAAATAAATACGACAACCGTTACTAATCACTGATGAGTTAAACATCAAGATGAATTGATCATAACAGTTTCCTATTAGTTATATAAATATCGCTCAAATATTACAAGATAGCTTGACTACGATATTGTTTCGACCATAATTAATGTCAATTTACATCTAATGTAGAATTATTCCAGAAAGGACTTTATACTGAACATAATGAAACAAGAATGTAACATTGCAGTCGTAAGACCATGAACTAGATGACAATAACAATCAATTGTCTCAGCCTTGATTGTTCCTTCTGTAAATACCAATCCATCTCTGATTTCATTGTTCATGCATTTTCATACCGATTGCGCTTCATTCTTATTCTTTCTTTATCGATCTTCACCGTCACCGTATACTACTTATGTGGATATAAGTAACCCACACTACAATAGTATCAGTCATCTATATTATTACAGGATGTAAGCTTAATTTATCCAATATTATATATGCCTAATTAGTGTAAAAAGTTCTTAGTACAAAGTCTATCATAACAAATACCCAATTTCATCTTTAACGAGTATCTACCTTGTGAATAGTAGAAAAATAGGTTTAAAAAAATTTTCAAACAGTGAATAAGCATTGTTCATATTTATAAGTAAAAATGGATAGTGGCTAGCAGTGGACGGAACGCGCGTCCTGGATTCCACTGCTAGCCACTATCAACCTTCGCTTATAATGCTTATGAATTAAGGCTATATCGAGGCAATACGCACAGGATGTACATAAGCCAATAAGAGACTAATCAATTGCAGTCCAAAACATCAATGGGAAGATTCAAACATTTTCAAGTTTCTTATCAAATATCTTTGTGATATGTTGTATATGTTTCATGAAACTGTGAAGGTAGCTGCGTTCGGTAGACAAAAGCATTTAGTTAAAAATATATATATAAAACAGAAAAATTTATAAAAGTAGAGATTCGGAAAAATGATGACGCAGAAGTTTGAATAGACCACTATCACCTCTGTATAAGGTATCTACTTCCTTACATACGCCTGTTATGTCTCGTGGAGGAGCATAAGCCGCTCACCAGCATTCTCCATCCAACTCTGTCAGGGCCAATCCTTTCCAGTTACTACTTACTTTTACATATCTGCTTCCGATTCTCGACGCAATGTGTTCCTTGATCTTTCTGTTTTCCGTTTCCCTTTCGGATTCCAAGTTAGGGATTATCTCGTGATGCAGTTTTCCAATGTTTTTTCCTGATCTCCTCTTCAGGTGGAAACTGTTTTGTTCTCTCTTATAGTAGGTTGATGCTCATGATATCCTGTCAACGGGCATTGAGTATCGTGTGTAGACAATTTTTTTAATAAATACTTGTGATTTTTAACTGGTTGCTCTCCAGGTTTCAGCTCGTCGTGCAGTAGAACTATCCTGACATTCGTATTGAAGATACTGACTTTGATATTGACGGACAAACAGTCGTTTTGAGTTCCATATTTTCTTGTGATTGGGTTAGTTTACTGCGTGTTGTATTACAGGATCTCAGTTTTTCCCTTGTGTATATTGAGGCCTACTAATTCAGAGACTTCTCCATAAGGTAAGGATTCATAAGAAGTACGATTAGCAATAGTTATTATAGGAAGTACCGAATGGGTTAT